TTTAGGTTTTGTAGCCTTTCTAATGTGTGTGGGAATCGTGCCTCAACGAAGCACCAGATGTCGCTCTCTACCCCTACTCTGTACGAACTCTCCAGGTTCCAGGATCTTCAGTTTGTTCGAGAAGTCCTAGAGAAGCGGTCTAATCGAACGCTCTCGAAGGAGCTACAACTAGACGTTTACTGGTCGCACGTAGACGATCGGACTTTTAACTTACCTAAAGTGACCCCACGTAGGTGGTCAGCTAAGACTTTAACATCTCCATAGTGGAACCAGTGTGATTACTCTCCTAAACATATTTAATCCATTTGTACATACTCATTCCGTTTATCTTTTCTTCTATAAAAAAGGAATAAAACCTGATGCTTTGTATCGTGAGTGTGATCTCTGTTTGATGATAAGACGTCACCTTCACATGTGTAATAAGAATATGAGTAATTTCCTCTTAAAAATTCTCCACGAAAGCATCTCCTTTTAGGCAGATAAACCTTGCATACTTTTTCTTAATCAGTCGCAATTCTATAGGCATGTGTTTGTTTGTTCCCTTGTCATAATAAAATGTTTCGCTCTCAAAGAACAGAGCCAACTGCGTCAATTCACCCTCAAAATCAGCAAAGTTAAGCTCATCTTTCCCTCCAATGTAGATGAAGACTTATTTAAACTTCGAAAGGAATAAGTTAAAGAAATAAATAAAATCCGAACTTTAAACTGTACTTTGTTTTTTTAAGAAGAAGGAATGCGTATTTAAAGGGATGATCTCATACCATTCTGTCTCAATCACGTAACTGCATTTTTGTCATTTTTTCATAAAAAGAGAAAAAAAAAATTGCCACTTTATCTTCAAAATGCGTACAATATTTCAATTATTTTAATTTAGTATTGCATTTTTATTAGCTTAAAATGTATTATTATATTATCTTAAAAACTTTTTTCAAAGAGAAAAAAAATCACCTGTAATACTGTATGCAAAGAATACAATTAAAAGAACTGCCGTTCCTTTGGTATTCCCTTTCCTGATTAAGTAAATAAACAACTGCTACAGTAAATTAATTAATTTCGTAAGGAAGTGAATCCAGACATTTCTTCAAACAGTTTGCCTTTCTTGTAATTATTAAATTCTATTAAACTCATCCTGGGAGTAAGAAAAAATTTAAAGAAAGAATTTAAGAAAATCTGTAATGGGGGAAAAATACTAGCTTACTAATGAATTGAAGCAAAGCTTAGAATAAGTTTATACTATTTTAAAATGTTTGCGTAAATAAAGGATCCAAAGAGTATATATAGCATGAAGAAGCTTTGTAAACGTCAAAATTATGTGCATAATAAATACTAATTATAAATTAACTCGAGGAATTTCATACATGAAACAATCATTTATACATGCATTACACCACCATTTGATTAAAAACTGACGTATTTTATGTCCATCCGGCCAACAGAATTTAATAAATGAAAAGGGTGTTTTTGTTCCTCTACTTCATTTTTTATAAGAATTAAGGCATATCGTATGAATTTTTTATATTATTTAGTTTAAGTGAATATTCATCAAAAGAAAAATCTGCGATTCGCAATTTTTTTTTCCTTGAAAATGCATTTACTCATTTTCATTTTTGCATGATCTGAGATAAAAGTAAGAACTTTACGTAAATTATTTACTTAAATTTATTAGGATTTTTTTTTTTTTTTTTTTTTTTTTTTAAAGAGGAAAAAAACATTTGACGACTCCTGAATATAAAAGGTAACGTATTTCCTCCTTCTTTCTTATTCATATTTTTTCAATATTTTAAACGTATTTTTTATTATTTCGAATTCTACACTAGAACTTCTGTTGGACTGTAAAATGTGCTTACAAGAGTATGTTTTCTTTACGAAGAATAACTAAGGATTAACAAAAACGCTTCAGTGCTCAAAAAATAAATCCCGTAACTATTTTAAAATGTGTGTTATAATTTGATCAGAATTTGGGGCTTATAAATTGTAACAAAGTGCTTTTAGAAATTCTTGCTTCTGAAGCTGTAGATTCTCGCAACGACTCGTCCACAAAATAACAATAATTTTGACTATCAATAAGCGTATTAGGCAACATTAAACAGAATAGTTAAGTCATAAAGATTTTAAGCAAATAATCCAAGATTTCAGTTTTCGGCGATTGGCTCAGGTATCTGGCGATGTTAAACTGAATATGATGGTTAATTAGTTCCGTTATTCAGTCTTGTATACATGTATTGTAGTATTGCTGATTCAAACTCTGCATTCATTAACTTCGCGTTAATAGAGATTAAGGCCTAAAAGAGCAAAAATGCTAATTAATGGAATTAACTCTGAACTAAATATACTTACATGACTTAGTCCTAGTGCCACCACTTTGCCCTTAAAATTTTATTCTGAGTATTTACATCTCGTTTATAGATTCGTGGAATTAGTTCTTCATTAAATGTCGTTAATTAAACTATAACACTCAGTGTCTAGTTCTTTAAATTTTTCTTAATGGTATGTATGTATCTATGTTAAGCTGCTTTTGCATTAAAGTTATTCTTCACAAGGGATCTAAATGTAGATGTTAGATATTATTTAAGCTTATTACTTAGATACTTTTGATGCATCTCATTAATGAATTAAGGTACTACTTATTTTTATATGAATTATAATTGTGCATATTATATTCATGGTATATGTTTAGGAGTCTTAATATTCGCTCTCAATTTTCAAATACCCGTGTAGTTGCGTTGAGTTTGTTAATTAAATAAAATGTTATATAAGAATTTTATTTTGACACTTGGACACAATTATGACACTTTAATTAGTAGATAAGGATTACGAAATAATAAATATGGTGAGACACTGTCCTTTTAAGAATATTAAAAGGTATTCCGTTTTCATTAAGAGCATAATCGGGATTATTTTTTCAAATTTACACTGGGATTATTATTTATTAAATTTTACTGACAGTTATATGTATGGAATAAACTGAGCTAATCACAGTTCGGTTATATCATTTAGATTTGCCTTTACTTTAACGGGTAATTTCCTAATAATATTTCTCTTTAAATACTACTAATGCTGTGTGAATGGAAAAAATATGTTTATTAATGGTATTTGAAACTTGTTCATTTTTATTTATTTGATAGAATACAAACAGGAACTTAAAATTTTATTCTATGCTCTCGAAATTGGAACGGTTGCTTTTGAAACCACAAAAGAGGTTATCAGCAAGTATTTATTACAGGTTTCTTACAAATTGGACAAAGTAGGGAAACTGAATAATTCTAAAACATAAATAAATCAAATTAATTATAATAATTAAAATAGGTAAAAAATAGAAGCTCAAATATTTACCCTCTTCACTTAAGCCATATATAATCATTATAAAAATGCATTATACTGAAGAGTTATTAGATTTATTTGATGCTGGAGGCGTGAAAAATAAGCAATCCCCTCTCCGAGACTCGAAACTGGACCTCTCGAATACGCACCGAGTGTGCTAACCGTTACACCACGATGGCATGATGGATGGAGGGGGTATTACCTTATGCAAACACTTTAAAAACTCAAGAGTTAAAATCCCAAGACTGTTGATTTTAGCTCTCTAAGTGAATTAGGATTATTCTTGTAAATTTTATATATTTGTAGCTTTACAGGATGGAGATACACAGATTAAGGTTTAACTAATTTGATATCCTCTCCAAGGAATGTTTCTGCATCTAGCCCAAATATTATGTTATTCTTTTTATTAACTAGCCTGAAATCAGTGCACTAAAGCGCTTGAAATCGGTATTTTCCGAATTTTTGCTACGTATCAAGTTTAATAAACTCCTAGATTGTTTTTTGTTTAAAGTTTCTTGTTTTCAACACTTAGCACCAGTAATACTACAACAGGTGAAACTTAAGTAAAGGACATATTAAAGTTACATTTTCTGGCATAAGTAAAATTTAAAAAATACTAGACCCTGCTACTTAGCTTTAATAACTCAAATTTTGTATTAAATATATTCCATAATCTAGCTTTCAATTATCAAATAACTCGACCGATTAAATGGCATTCCTAAACCTCTGCTCTAAAAGTTGCCAACTTCCACTTACCAATTTCACAAGTCGACTAAGCGCAGAGCTTGGTTCGGGCCAAAATAAAGTTAGAGATTTAACAATTATGTTGAAAATCGTTTGCTCACAAACATCGTTCATATTTTTACTCCAGAATGAAGTTCTGTATAAATAATGTTATTTATGCTCGTATGCTTTGTTCCCCGAATTATAATTTCACTTAGCTAATCATTTCTGAAGCCTGTTCTGGAAGCACCATCTCCCGCATGGAACGTATGGGTGAAACGATATGAAGCGATATGCATATTAATTCTTTGTGATACTATATCTTTGGACTAAACAGTAATTCAGGTATGCTTCGCACGCAATTCTGAAAATCAGTGTTCATATTATTAGCATCGTTTTCGAATGTTATTTTGTTGCAAGTTACAGTAAGGTTATGCCTGTCAGTTTTCAGTTTGGCTTACAAAGAGTGTGGTAGAAGAAGTTGATGAAATAAAAATGAGGAAGAAATAGTGCCCACTTTCACAGAAATATACGAATCTTTGTAAAACGTTATAGTGTTTTACATGCGCAAAACAGAAGCGATGCTAACAGTGAAAACATTTTTATATCTCGAAACGTTGTAGTCTCAATTTATTCAAATATTATATAATATAAATTTAATCCAGTTATTTGTATACAATGTTAATTTTTGCAATAGGTAACTGCTTCCACGTTCTGTTGCTTTCTTGTATTCATTGCTCCCTACATTCCCTATGGAGACGACAGTTTCGTATTCCTCTGCAAAAATTTGATGAAGTATACTTATCAGTGACGTTAAATAATTAAATTAATTGATTTAAAATCAACATGTAAACTAAAAGAAGATTTCAACTTTTTTTTCGTATTTATTCCTTTGATTTGTACATTAAGTTGCATCGATTTTATGTATATTAACTCTATAATATAATTTATTTTAGGTCCACCAGATCCAGTTCGAAGTTGTGTGGTAGCTAATCGATCAGAAATATGGCTTCTGGTTGAATGTGAGGCAGGCTATAATGGAGGCTTGCCTCAGAAATTTCATTTAGAAATATACAATTCAGCTGTGGATCACCTGCAAGCGAACATAACCAATATCGATGCACCTGTGTTTTCTGTTTCTAAATTACCCCCAGGCACGCAATTTGTATTGGTGATCTATGCATCCAATGAAAAAGGAATAAGTAACTCTTTAGCTCTAGTTGGAAATACATTATCTATTCGGAGCCCCGAAGAAGGTAAGTTTACTGTTACAGAAAACGTGATATATTAATAAACATATGCTGTTGGATGTTATAGATTAATTGTTGTTACTGTGCAGTGAATATAGTCCTGTTATTTGTTTCAATATAATAAATATATTACAAAATTGTAAAAATAATAAGTTGTTATGCACCTCGTAGAATAGACATACATAGAAAGAGAGAGACACATAAATAAATAGATAGATAGATTCCATTTTACGCTATAAGCCTTCCATTCTTTGGTATAGATTTTTTTTTTTTTTTTTTTTTTCCAGTTTGGAAATTTTTAGTGAATAAATTATACTTATTTTTTTTTACTTATTTTTATTTTAAATAGTTTCCTCCTTCTAAAATAAATTAGTTCCGCTTCCTCAAAATTTCGATTTTAAAATATATTTACTTTTGATATGCAGTAATTACTTTTGAGTTACAACTTATTTTAACAGTTTTGCGTTTTTTTGGCTCGAAACTTATTGGATATATTTATTTAGCACAGCGCTTTGCATCTATCCAATTGCTTATATTTTTAATAGCAAGAATTCTGACTTTATAAAGCTTAATTTTACAATATTACTTGTTTTAGAATCACGATCTTAAAACGAGATTGCCAGATTGTGTATTGATAATTAATTAAAATGAAATTTAAAAAATTACAATTTAATGCTTTTATTCATTAAAAATTTTAATGCCTTTAATTAAATTTATTTATTTATTCTTTTTTTTTACATTTTTATTTGGTCCTTTCATTTGAATTATTTCAAGAATTTATAATCGTCAAGGTAATAATTCAGAAACATAACTTTGTGGAAAATGTTTCGTCTGCTCCTTGAAAAAAAACAAAGAATTTTCAGCAAATTGTTATATTATATTAATTATATTATTTATTGAGTTATTTTGTTTTTGTTTCAGTTTTGATGCATGTACTGTCAGTTTTCTTCGTATTTTTATTATTATTTGTAAATATAATAAAAGGAAAAGTCTGTTTATTTGTGTGTGTGTCTTTCGTTCGTGCTGCGCGTAATAAGTTACTAGGCTTACGAAATTTGGTACATAGGTGCATCTAGACAAGAGCCAGTGAATTTCGAAGAGATTTTTCAAAATTCGAATAAGCTTTTTTATTTTATGTTTTTTGATGAAGTCGCATCAAATCGATAATTCTCAGTCATTATATCAGTAACAAATGACACGCAACCATTGTTGTCATTGTTGCTGATATCAGCACTGTTGCCACTCGGAAACATGAGGGCAAAAATTAGCGTTTTAAGAGCTTTTCATTAATATTTTTGATTTTAGCTATTTTTGGGGGGGGGGAAAGTGGACGTGAACCTAATTATACTGTAAGATTTTTGTTTTTTTGCGTGGGTTTCTTTCTCATGTTATTTATTGCTTATTTCACTGTTTTTAAGAAATTGAAAAGTTTTGCATGACTTTTTTTAGGAAAAAAAGTTCTTCATTTATACCATTTGAATTATTAAGACTTTGCAACGGGGAATTGGTTAATTTATTAATTAAGGTAATTAATATTTGTAATAAGGGATATTGCTTATTTCATTGTCGTTATTTTACGCATAATAAAATTTTATAGATTTTTTTTGGGGGGGGGGTAAAGTGAAAAAACTGAGTTTTGTGTTTTTTATTGTTGTTATTCCGCAGAGTAAAACTGTGCAGTTTTTAAATTTAATGTTTGGTGTTCGCTTTAGGCATTTTTCCGGTACATTTAAAAGCCTTCCGTGACGTTTTGCAAAATTTGTATCTAAATAAATATTAATAATAAATGTCTCTCAACTGAGATTATTAGGAATTCTGATTCAGTTTCAATAAAATGTCAGTAATAAAATGTAGTAGTAAATGTCAATAGCTTGAAAAAAGTAATCTATTAAAAATAATATACAATGCAGTTTAATTCGGAAAAAAAAATATACATGTAATACAACCAGTAGAAAGTATTTGATATTTTTGTGCGAACTGAGTTTTAAAATTTTATGGACGCACTTTGCATAACATTAAAATTATTCTCCTAAACCCTCCCCTATCCTCCACTTTTTTTGCCCCATGTTCTTTTGTCATTAGTAGAAGTTCAATTCCTCTTCCTTTCCCAAACTCGAAAAACAAATATATATCCTTATATAGACTTAAATGATTTTCTAATTTTTTGTATACATAAAAACAACAAAACGTGGAAAAAATGTTCATAAATATAAAAACGTGACTAAAAGTAGTCTTTATATACATGTATTGAAACTAAATGCTTAACTATTAAATAAAAGACTGGCCGCATTCCTCCCTGAAACTAAGAAATTTGCTCCAGTGGAGAATTTATCCCTGGCTGAGAATTCTTTATCTGCCATTGATAAAATTATATCGAAATAAAGGAAAAGGCGTTCCTTGGATTATCGGAGTCTATCTCATGCTGTTTATTTTAATGCAAAATTTCCGATTATACAAAAAGAAATAAAAATTCAGTAGAAGCTTTGCTAGAGATGAAGTTATGGAAATGAGAGTTTAAAATTGTTTCAGTGTTTTTCTCATATACAAGCATCAAATTTTATATTCTAATATTGAAGAAAAAAATAATTTTTAAGTCTTTATTCTTTGTTACAAGTGCTCACAATTTTTATGCAATTATTTATTCATAAGAAAATTATTGTTGTAACATATAAAATAAAGTAAATGATCAAGTAGCTAATAAGATAGTTTAAAACTTGAAGCATGATTTTAATTGCTGTCTCTATATGATGAAAAAATTGCTGAAATCTCTGGCTACCACTTGCTGCTATCAGAGTTTTATTCTTTAATATTTACCTACGATAATATTCTTTACGTGTTTTCATAATTTCTAAATTTTATAGGAGCAAAAAACTATCGAAAAACTTGTAGAGTCATTAGGCTATTTTTAAAGCAATGCCCTTCCCGGAATTCGAACCACGGACCTCTGGAATACGCGTCCAGCGTGCAGACCACTACACTACGAAGGAATGCTAAGTAGGCGGCAGAAATGCCTTATAAACTCCTCTGCAAAATGAGCTGTTTCTTTGAAGAATATGCTACTGTTGAATTATGCCTTTCATTCACTAATATTTCCGTGTGTTTATACTTTGAAATAACCCATTAAAAAAATATTTGATATTGGCAGTAGCATCCGATGTTTAATATATTTTTGCCAGGAACGTAACGAATAAAAGGCAGGCAATTTCATTCTGCCGTTTCGTATAACTCATACATTGTTACTTTTAAATACAGAATTGCAAATTAAGTAGGTAATTCATTTCAAGTATTTCGATTCTGTTTCGAAAACTGGCTTTTCATGAAATATTTAATGTCTTAAATTTGATTATAGTAAAACGAAAAATTTTTTGCGTTATTTGTGATATAGAAGTTCTCCCAGTATGTGCAACTCCGTTTCCCATAGCTAGTAAGGAGACTAATTGTTTTGTGAATATTAAGATAAGGAAATGTCAGACTTTTTAAAATCACTTTATTTTGGACATTTCTGATAAGATCGTTATGAAGAAAAGGATCTGCAGAACTAAATGCCAGGATGTCAGGCTATAAAAATGTCCGGCAACGAAAAACGAAATTCCTACCCACCTCCCGGAAAAAAAAAAAGTAAATTCTTGCATCGAGTTGAAATCCTTTCTGTCAAAACAGAAATAATTGTGTTCGGCATCTATGCTTTTTCCTTAAAACTTTCATAACAAGCGTTATTTGCTAACATGATTCAGCGATGCACGAGGGAAAAATGTCGAAAATAATGCAATAAAATATTTCTCGGAACATAATAACAGTATAATTCAATGAATTTTAAAGCAAAAAATGCACAACATATACTACACTTTTGATGCGGCGAATTGCAATAAGAAAGGGGGTACAAAACTGGATGTTATAGCATTTCTGTACAAACTTCGACGATCTACGGCTAATCGTTTTTTAGTTATAAGTAAGTAGTTCCGAAAAAAAAGTCCCTCCTAATTCCATTTTAAATCCATTTTGCAATGTATCTTGGCAAAAATAGCCCTTTATTCTGTCTGTGCGTATAGATGCCCGGTTTTTGACGAACTCATTTGGATTTTTTGAAGCAGATTGCTTAGATTAAATGGAATAATACTTATTAATCTTTCTTGTTACTTACTCCATAAAAAGAGCTATCATATTCAAGGATTACGTTACTTTTACATAAAAAATTTCAATTTTCATTGTCAAAAATTTTTCATTTCATTGGAACTCTTAGTTTGGGCACCTGATGTCTCTATCGAGCATCTACCATATATACGTAGCTTTCCCCTCTACTGTTTTTTGAGATAAGTTAAAAATTACTGGACGTTAAATTAATATCGAAAAGCGCGTCTCACATAATCCAACATATTATTAATACTAGAGGCAGAATAATAATGGTTCCATACTGTTACTTTGTAATTCACTGCATATGACTTAGTTTCTTTCTTTTATTTATATGGAATCATTTGAGAAATGTAAAATATACAATGCTAATATCTAAAAATAATCGAAATGGTTGCATCAGATGCAGTTATAAAATTGCTCAGAAGTATCCTGAAACTATTGTTATTATATTTCCGTTATATAGTACATTTTTACATATTGCATTGCATTAAAAGCTTAGAATCTGTACCATTGGTTCCAGAATTGATGATAATATCAGATTCAAAATTGTTCTACTACAGGGTGATTCTATTAGCCCCTTCCCGACGGCATGTTGCTGAACTAAGAACCCTCTGCAGACTGGTGTGTCATATAGCAACAATGGAAAGGACACTTTGATGATTAAACTAGCATACTTCAAGTAAAAGCATTAGCAAATAAATAAATCATAATATTGTCCATTCAAATATCTATACCGATAGTATGTTAGTATTTTTTGCAATTTTAAATTATTCACTGACATCACCATTAATACACAATACTCAGCAATTATTACGAAATAGCAAAAGGATTCTTGCTGGATGAATGCTAATGTTCTATCACATCGCAATGAGTTGATGGATTAGCACGCAAGTGAGGCTGCCGAAAACTAGAATGCAGAATACACTCTTATTTTTTGGCGTAGGTCGTAGCTTAAAAATGTCTCTTGATTATCTCATTGTAAAACTGGTTAGAAGAGTGAAATATTTGTAAAAAGGGCAAATGCACCTTTAATTATCTATCACAAGTTTATGAAAATAGAAAAATTTCGATTCCACAGTTATCGAGATATATGATAGAAAATGGTCCTTTCTCAAAGTTTTACTGAAAAGACTCTTTATTGAGTAAAGACGTCTTGTTCTTAAAACTTGTAAAATTATGAATGTATTTTTTGTATTCAAAAAAGGTATTTGCTCTCTCGGATAAAATATGAGTATAAACAGTAGCATATTTACCTCTTCTTTTAAACTTTCATTGATTTATTTATTAGCTTAGACACGATGACTCTACTTTATGAGCATAAGAGTAAAAATTTAATTAAGACACTGTGATTTATTTCGTTATATTTTTGTATGATCGAGTTTGTGAATGGTTGATAGAACATCAGGGACTCCATCAACATATAGACTTTATCAACTTTATTTTTTTAATGCAATTACATTTTACTTTAACTTTTAATTCCTCCTCCATGACAAATGTTCCAGAATTTATACATTTTAATAAATTGTAATATGAAACACGTAAAAAAATATTGTCTATTATTATTTAAAATAAAAGTAAATCTAGTTAATGATTGGATGTGGGACAGCACGTTTTTATCATTGGTAAAGACCAGGTCACCAAGTAAGAAAATATTGGCTATTATTTATTTAAAATAAAAGTAAATCTAGTTAATGATGGATGTGGGACAGCACAATTTATCATTGGTATAGACCAGGTGTTCCCACTGAACTGAACTGAATCTATGAAATCCATTAATGGTGCTACGTAATCGATAAAGATTAATTTCTTTCTCAATCTTTTTTTTTTTTTTTTTCATTTTCTTCTTTTCTTTGTTGACTGGAAACACTGCAAAGGCGATTTTAAGCTGGAAAAGTTTTACAAAAAGAATTCATCAATAAAATTTAAGAACTGATAGATTAGTACTTCTATTTGTAACTGTGTAGAGACATTAGGATTCTTTTAAAGCAGGAGTGATGAAAAATTAGCAAACCGTCTTCGCTGGGAATCAACCACGGACCTCTGGAATACCGGCCCAGCGTGCAGAACCACTACACCACGAAGGCACGCTAGGAAGGAGGGAGAAATACCTTATATACTCCCCAATTTTAAAGGGCGACTGGGGTTTTAGGGAACCCCATCGCTAAATCCTGGGTGTGGAGAGTCATCATCCACAACCCTTTTAGTTCGGGCGCCATTGTAGAGACATTAGGATTTTTTTAAAGCAAGAGTGATGAAAAATTAGCAAACCGCCTTCGCCGGGAATCGAACCACGGACCTCTGGAATACCGGCCCAGCGTGCAGAACCACTACACCACGAGGGCACGCTAGGAAGGCAGGAGAAATACCTTATAACTGTTATATTTCTGTCATCATTTTTAGTTTTATTTTTGATATCAAGTTTTATTTTTGATAATTTTGCATTACAACTTCATAAAATTCAGTAAATAAAAGATTTACGAAAATATTCTGATTACAGATTAATAAATGTATTAAAACTTTTTAAAGTTTCATGAATCTTGAACAACAAAATAGTAATATGTATCATTATTTATGACAACTATACTATTAAAACTATTTGGTTAATACTTGCAAATGATAGGCCATTAATTAATCTTAAAAGTAGCTGCTACAATTCTGTTTCCTTGGGAAGCGTATCAATCATTACCTTCCCTCCTTTCTTGAGTGCGTTGCTATATACAACTTATATCATATCCTCTTAACAATAGTTTGACTATCACCAAGAATAAAATTTCAAAATCATTAAAAGAAATTTCAAAGTACTGGAGAAGATTTTGTCTCTAAACACTAGCTCTCATCAGTGCTACGTTACTATATTTAAGTGATTCATGCTTTAAATCTTAAACTAGTCTTGAGTGCATAAATGTTTTCATTATATTTCAAAAATATTACATTTTACCAAACGAATTTAATAACTTGATTATGCCTCCTGGTAGAAAATGTAAAAGTTCACCTTTTAAATAATGATTTAAGCTTAAAAATGCGTGGACTATGCCTGAAGTTCGTGGACATAATTCGCTAAGTATATTATAGGCCTGGCGTAGGTTTCATTTCCGAAATAGTTGCATTCTGTCCTGTGTATCATTTCCATAGGGGCAGTCGTTTCTCAGGTAGCAAACAATTTTCTGATGACCAACTTAATATAGCGGATATAACAGTTTTCGCCTGCTTGTTCGTCCTTAATGCTTTTTCTTTCCTGCGGTGCTGAATACTTTCTGAATTATTGGAATATACGAGAAATCACTAAGTTAGAATGTATTGTAACTTGGTGATTAACAAACTCCTAACGGATGAATGCTGGAGGATGCGATCAGCATTTTATTTCACTGTAATATACTTAACCCTAGTTTATGAATATGAAAAACTACTTTTCTTCAAGTTTTGGTGTTTATCAACATCTTCTACACTTTTCGTTGTTAATTTATAAAAACACAGTAAAAAAGTTCTAAATGTAAATATACGTATACGTATTTTTTGAAATTTGGAAGGATAGGGGGGAGGAAGAATGACCTTTAAGTGAATGGTGAAAGACGTGCATGGGGTTGAAACGATTGAGAAGCGCTGGTCTAAAAAGTACGTATCAATAATCTCCAGACTTGACGAAACTTGCCATACCAAAGGGAGTACACGTATACAGACGGAAAAAGGAACAGGCTAAAAAAAACTTAAGGAAAACAGTAATCTTATGTTTAGAGTAGAGACTATTTTTCTTTGGGGGGGATACGATTAGTAACTTTTCCTCGTGCCCTTCGATAGAATTTTAGATCTACGCCAAACACAAGGTTGTTGTTTCGCCTAATTTCAGATCAGGCCACTTTACTCTCTCCCTTTCTTTGCTGCTTCGAAAATATTAGGCTAAAACTCATTCTAGTTTCTGTGAAAATATGTTTTATAATATTATTCCAAGACATCAAGAAATAAATGAATAGCAATTTTTGTGATGAGCCAGTAGCTCGAAATTAATTGTAGTCTATTTTTCTAGACTCATACTTTTATTTGCGGTCTCATAGCTTCTGTTACCTTTACGTACACAAGAATATTAAATAGAATCAAACATCATTGCTAAATTATTGATGTCTGTGACAAAGCAGTAAGTATGCTATTTCTGTGATTCTTGAAGTCACACCTATCAAAAGCATTCAAAAATATAAATCAGGTTGATGAATAAAATTCGAGGGAAAATTATTCAGAGACAGTTAATTGCAGTACGTTTCCATTTCAATAATAACCTTATTATATTCGTTCATGCTGATTATAATTCTAACAAGGGTAATAAAGATAACATTTATAACTAGAAAAGAAAGCAGATGTTTCAAAAAGACAATAAATGTTGTGAAAGTTTTATCCAGGACACGCTGACGTGTTAAGCAACAATTCGTAATGATTATATGGCAGCGTAAAGTGAAACGCTTTTTTCGCATCAGTTGGCCCGTATCGGTCACTAAATTACAGTTCGGTACTCTCTGTGTGAGTGTGTGCTCTTAGCATTCTTTCTTTGATAGCCACAGCTATGTCTTTTCCCATTTATTGATCGTTGTTCTTTTTGTTACAGAAGCAGCTCTCATGGGTGCTTTGAGCCCCTTAGTCGCTGTACTGCTAGCTGTACTGGGCACTCTCCTGATGATAGGCGTAGTCGCATTGGCATTGGTTCAAGTTCGGAAAAGGCGGCCCCGAAAAGGTTTTATCATTTGTTTTATCCTTGATTAAATATGACAAACTATTTCTCTTACATTTCACTTAAGCGAATGGCTACGCCATTGGCTTTCGAAAGTGAGTGGAAGTTACTGATAATATATCGAGACAAAGTTATAGATCAAAAAAGAGATCTCGAGCTTTAGATTTTAAAGCAATAGTAAATATAAGAGCGGAGCAACGGAAAATTGTTTCCGTCAATTAATTCCGAGGCGTGTATAGTTTCGCTGAAACGCAGGCTCCAACGCGAAAATAAGTAAAACTGCTAATTAAATTTTGCTGAGCAGTCTTTCAAATGTTTAGTTTTATAGTATAGTTAATCGCGATATATGTTTATGAAATATTTAATGCAATAAATTTTGTTTCGATAAAGGTTTTCTATTTAAAATAATATCAATAAATAAAATTAATATAAATAAGAGAGAAATAGATAAATGAACAGATAGATAGTATAAAATCGCAATTTATGTCTTCTATTTAAAATTATTGTTGAAGAGTTCGTGGTTTTAAGGTTCAATTACTACCTAAAACATTATCACATGTTTTACCAAAGTAATAATGAAAACACAATTAGAATTAATGTTGGCGATGTCATAAATGTTTTCTTACTTCTGCGGTGCTCGTAGGATAACAATACACTGCTCAAACTATTAGAGGATTTTGTCAGTTTTGTGGGAAATAACCACATAATTGACAACCATTTCAACAGAAATGAAATATAAGTGTTTAAAAAGGAACATTATAACGTATAAAAAGTTGAGAATATGCAAATTTTGTCTGTGACGTCAAAATCTCTGCGTTTTAGCTAAGAAGTGAAAAGCGACTTGCAGCATTCGTTCTGATTCCTTCTGTAGGAGGAGATTAAAAACAGTTGACATTCGCTGAAAGATTTTTAACAGTGAGAATGATGTCTCAGCAAGATGAATTAGCTGAGTCGGTAGCCTAGAGGGCCATCGGTCGTTTAGAGGCAGTTCTTTGTAGTGGAAGATTTAGAAGTTTCTCAAAATCTTTCCAGATTATCGTTCCAATTTTGGAAACTGAAAATGTTCGCCGAACATCTGAACAAGATCGTACGCCTGTGACAACACAAAAGAAGGATCGGTATTTGACACTAACGGCCAAAACAAACTGCGTTATGAACATCACTGTCTTGCAACGGCACCTTCAGTGGTCTGTTGGTACCAGAGTTTCTGTTCAAACTGTTAGAAACCAAGTCCACCATGTAGGATTGTATGCTCACAGACCTATGGTTTGTGCTTCGTTGAAACAGGACCACCGTGCTGCCCGCAAAAGATGGGCCCAGGAGCATCTCAGATGGGGACGAGATAAGTTGAGCAACGTGCTCTTTACAAACGAGTCCCGTGTTAATGTATATCCTGACAATACGAGAATTATCATCTGGAGAGAACCTGGTATGCGGAATACTATTGCATTTGTGCAGGAAAGTGTCTGGCGCATCGATAGTTATGTTTACTAAGCAACAATTCATTCACCCTTTGGTATAAACTACAAATCTAAACATTTTAGCAAAGCATAACTTTCTGAACATAAATATGATAAAAAATTTCAATCTTGATAATGATAATAAAATATTCTGATAAAAATGATTGCTTAAAATAAATCTAAATACATCCTACCTGCGTAACAGTCACGGTATTGCTAAAATGCTAAATGCAACATAACCATATTATGCAGGACTAATGCATGTGTTATTCTCTGTATCTGATCTTACAATCTCACCTTAGAATCGAGCTTTATACCTTCGAAAATGTTAACATATGACCTAAAAGTGATGAAATGCAGGTATAAACTTTGTGAGGAAGGCTGCAATAATTCTGCAGTATCGTTTCTCTCTCTCTTCATCGTCCGCAAGGAGCAGTGATGGTCTGGACCGGTATTTTTATCAATGGTCGCACCGAACTGCACATTATCGGGAATGAACCTATTTGCACATTATCAGGCTCAGCGATATATGGATGAGATCGTCAGACCTATTCTTCCTCAGACCTGCTCCTTCATGCTGCAGCAATCTGGAATAAATTCATTCTCATGGTTGATAACACTAAGCCACATCGTACTCAGCTAGTGAATAATTTCCTTTTCGACGGAGGAATCCTTTTAAGCGTTTAGCCAGCAGGCACCCAGACACGAACCCAACAGAACATGTTTGCGACATTATAGAGCGAAGATTGTGTTAGTCGCTTATCATCTCCAAAAATAATTCAGCAGTTTGAAAGCTCTCTTGTACGGGAGTGGGAGAAAGTATTCCAGTCCCTCATTGATAACGTCATTGATTTTATGTCCCTTACTGAAACTCATTTGTATCCGAAATCACATTTTTGTTCGTTTGTAAAATGCACAAATTATGCATTTTTTATTTACTAACCAATATCGTCAATAAAATTTAATCATACATTGTTCGTTGCTTCTTTTTCTTTTCTCATATCTTAAAATATCAATACATAATATATCAGTTACCAAAACATTTCCTTATCGGAAGTTTATATCAAAATTAAAATATCCGCTAATTCCTTTGAGCAGCGTATGTAAGAACTGTGAGAATATTTGTACTACTTAAATAAAATATACTGCACACGTTAACTAAATGTAAATCAATACGCTTAAGTTTAGCTCATAATGCCACAGTAATTATCAAAATTGCAAGAAAAATCTATCAGATTCATTAATTTTTTGTGGCATAAAATTGCTTAAAAACTAATTTGATTTTATGAACCTTAAAGCTGGTTAAAGAACTTTGACAGTGACATGCGCATCGATAGTTATGTTGACTAAGCAACAATTCATTCACCCTTTGGTATAAACTACAAAATCTAAACATTTAGCAAAGCATAACTTTCTGAACATAAATATGATAAAAAATTTCAATCTTGATAATGATAATAAAATATTCTGATAAAAATTATTGCTTAAAATAAATCTAAATACATCCTACCTGCGTAATAGTCACGGTATTGCTAAAATGCTAAATGCAACATAACCATATTATGCAGGACTAATGCATGTGTTATTCTCTGTATCTGATCTTACAATCTCACCTTAGAATCGCGCTTTATACCTTCGAAAATGTTAACATATGACCTAACAGTGATGAAATGCAGGTATAAACTTTCTGAGGAAGGCTGCAATAATTCTGCAGTATCGTTTCTCTCTCTCTCTCTGCTATGCTTCATCGTCAGCAAGGAGCATTTTATTTGGATCACTTTCAGCAAATATACTTTCAAATAAGTTTTAGATTACTATGACTTTTGTATACAGCGGAAAACTATCCAGCAAATGATATATGCATTTACATAAAAAGTAGCAAATTGCTGAAAAACCACAGGCCGAATATCCAAATTTTGCCTTCACTGCCACATCATTATTTGCTTTCGGCTTCAAAAACACATACATTTTCATTGTAATACATGATTAAAAAAGTAACAATTTGTCATTTTAAATCTGAAATGAATAAAATACTTAATGATGTTATTAAATTTCTGAGTATATATATGCAAATTTTGTGATTTATATATTAAGGTAATGCTTTTCTGGGCATTCGTAATTTACGTTTTTCTTCTTTTGAGCATGTTTTATAAAACATTAATTCCTAAATTTTTAATATTTGCAGCGCTATCTCCAATAGAAGAGGATAAAATAAAGTAAGTTTTCTACGTAAGCATGTATAAAATTTTTCAATTATATTTTTCGCTACCGTAGCACTAAAAGGTAATTTCGTATGGAAATAATTATAACATTAAAATTTCATCAATTTTGCTTTAGAAAAGGAGCAATCACCCTGTTTTTTTTCTTGCATTATTTTTATTTTTACTAATAATATAACTATTTGTATTATTATTCATTAAAGTATTCAAAATACATTTATTTTAACTTAAACTAGATTTAAATTACTAATAAAGCATAAAGCTGCAATTCTACGTATTAGATACGATCCTAAAATTAAGTATTTGATTAAAATAAGTCATAAGCAGAATAATAAACAATAACTGATTTTGTATTTCGCCATCGATATCACAGTTTATTAATAACTTCAGTAATTAATGTTTCAGTCTATAAAACAAATATTCCGTTCGTTTATCCTGAAATATTGAATTGCATCAGATAATATTAAAGTAAAAAAATATTCATTTATTACAATCAAATTAAGTAAAACTAATTTTAAAATATGCCAGAACACAAAGGACGAATTGGGCTTTGAACTAATGAAACCATAATTACTTAATTGCTTCTAGAAGTAGAAGCAAATGTAAAATTAGACAAAAAACTCGATCGTTGACCATAGATTTTGAATCTCTGTGAATGGCCACAGAATTTATCACAAGACTCCCTTCTTCAGAAAAAAAAAATGCTATATTTTTGCAATTGTTTGCTCTTAAATTTAAATTGTACACAGGAGTTTCAGTTTTAATTTATGACAGATATTTTTGGTATTTTTTGACACAATAATAGGCAACACTGGTTATACACACTCGTACAAAACGGAACTAGATTGTTGAAAAAATCGTTTTTAACCTTTCTTCACTACAGTTGGCACTTTGTTCATAATCGAAGCGCAGCGGGATGTTCGCTTATGGTACTCTATTTGTTTTTGCAAAATACAGGCTCAATTATCAGTTATCATAAGTAAACGGTCACTGTTGACTGTGAAGGCTTATGGAATTCATTAATAAATGTAACAGAGCGGTGATGCATTTACTGGGAAAGAAAATTTGAACGATTGGGTATAAATGTTAAATGGTGTGTGAATTAAAATGTCGGTTATTTCTGTACAACAATTAAGTAACACAAATCGTGTGCTTCATCAGTGAGAACAATGCAAACGTCATTTGTTCATGGGGGCTTGTCTATATCTTTCAAAGCTTTAACCGATGAACTTGGCGTGGGATTAGTTCACAGTATCATCATGGCATCATTTGAAATTGTCACCAATAGTATGCATTTGTAAACATGTACAATTGCAAGTATTCTGTTTAAGTGTGGGTGTCAGCAGCATGTGTACGACTGTATAATGCTGAAGGAGTAAGCTTTATGATAATTAATTTTGAAAACAATTATAGTCTTCGGAAAGATGATGACGTATTTTATTGCAGAGAAATCCCGGAATCTCTGTCGATAAACACATATGAATTCTCTTCCGGTATATATATATAAACCTGCTATGAAACATTAGCAACCTAATAATGAGAAATGCATGTTACATGATACAATATAATGTAGGTGGAAGCTTTCAATATGCAATTTTATTATAGAGCCGAATTATATTCCAAGGGCTTTCTTTATATGGCCTTTAATATGACACTAAAATTGCTATTGTCGACTTGGAGTTTTACTGAGTAAATATTTAACAATTCAAGTAAATAATGTTATGCATAGTACATAGGTAAACAACAGCTAATGAAACGTGAATAAAAGCAAATGTTGCCTTGTTGGCAATATTTTTCTTGAAAACTTGTAGCTGTTTTATATAAATTTATATATATATATATATATAGTTATATTCAATTTCAGGATGAATAAAAATGTGAAGAAGACATTTGAAGATTTAGTTGAAATACGATAGCTTGTCCTGATGTAGTTCCTCCTAATAATAGTAAGTATGATAAACTCAGTGTAGTTTTTACAGTGAAACAAAATATGGTTTTAAATATACTTTTTATTTATTTTTTATATCATATTATAAAATACATTTATTATGCTACATGGTTAAGAAAGAAAATTCGCGAAAGTGTCTTATAATCGAAGATACGTTTCATGTATGGAGTAAATATGATCTCCTTCATTAGATGGAAGTTTCATTTGATGAAATTTCCGGCTCAAAACTGAATTATTGACTGAAGTTCACATAATAACCTATTAGTTTCATTATTAATAGAAGTATTCGGAGTTGTATGAATCAGTTTATGCCATGATAAACTCCCTATTTGTTTCATATTTCAGTATTCAATCTAGCTAATCTGAGATCGATCTTGGCTACAGTGGGCGACGAGTTGTCTTTTACAAGAATCACAACTGCCCAATTTCCACTGATTTTTGCCATTCTAACTTATTACTAAATAAAGATTTCGTCTGTAGAATATATTTCAGTGATTTCAGCTGACCTCGTACTTTCAACTGTCGAAATAATATTCAGTGAAGGTTAATGTTAAAACCTTTGTGATAGCTTAATGCCATACTGATTCTTTACATGGAAAACTAGAATAAATTTTAAAAGGGTAACTAAAAGGGTATTATAGACAGTAATATATTTATATCATAGAATTATGTTATTACCTCAGAACCAAAAGTTTAATTTTCTGAAATCGCTGTTTAGCCGCATCATGTTAACTTGTCCACATGATAATAAAAATATGTTTGTTTCACCACCTATGTTCCCATATTTTCGTACTAGCCTCTGTGAACAAATACAATTTGTATGTGTGTTTGGATAGCGATTTTGGTTAATAGATAGTAATGCAAAAACAAAAATAATATCAAATTTCGACAATTCTGCAAAGTTGAATGAAAAATATTTTCTATCTCCATCTAAAGCTGATTTGTGTTTCTTTAAATCACAGTGAAATCTTGATTCACGAATTCAATTCGTTCTTGAAAGCTAATCGTCAGCTGAAACCATTTTACTCGTAGGAATTAATGTGAAATGAACCAGTTTGTCCCTGGGCCACATGACTGTTTATAAGCTTTACAAATCATTTCGTCCACAAGTTTATTCATAATCCCCAACCATCATAAATCCTAATCATTTAATATAATATAATTTGTATGAATCCTAATCATGTAAATTTTCAAAAATTATTTTAAAGTGCAATGATAACAAAAGAAAATTATTTTACGTGTACAAATAATTTTTCTCTGTAGAGTAATATATGTTCTCATATCATAATACGCCTGAGATAAATTTTATTCATCCCTTAACTAGATGATCACTTATCTTGAACTCCCTGCTAAAATTTATCACGACATACATTTATGAGTGTAAATTTCCTTCTAAAATAAATTAAAGAATGTACAGGGTAGTTTAAAATTCCTTTCCAACAAACACTGGAGTGGACTGTCTTCACTGTATTATCAGGAAACAAAAAACAATTAATGTATTATTGTCTTAACTATGAATTTTGAAATTTTTAAGGCTTTTCAAATAGTACTCGTATGAAAACGTTCGGTTTCCCCATGCGTTTTAATGTATTAAAACTTCACTCAGGATCTTTAAATACTCACCTCATAGTGTTATATTAAAAAAATTATTTAGTTGAAAATAGTAATTGATGGTTTCATTCTGCTATTGTTTTCTTTCGCGTTACGTTCATTTTATGATGGATTACGATATTGATTAAGATTTCTATCTAGACTATTTCCTGCGTAAAGCAACATTTTTACGTTGATTTTAGTTCAAAATTTTGAAATATTTTTCTTGTTTCATGCGTGAAAAGACTTTTTTTTTTTTTCAGAATGCCATTTTCGTTTTAAAGTCGTGTTTTTAAAATGTTGCTATATTGTACTTGCCTCATAACTCCTTCTTCAATATTTCTAGGCCTTCAGTGTTTATAATACTCCGAGTGAATACTGATTTTATTAAATGTTTACTTTTTATTGAATACATTCTATTTTAAGGAATCTTCTTGTCATCTACGGATATATTGTTCCGCGCTTTGAAAAAATGAAAGAATAGAATTATCATTCAAATATATCTACAGATATTTAATCATTTTTCTTTGATTTGTCTACCTGGGAAATTAACTTCTTATCAAAAATATAGTTTGGAAATCAGACTAAAAATAAAGATAACGAAGCGAAATTGGATAATAATTATTTGCTTGAAAATAGATAGTAAAATCTACTTATGTCATTCTTTTCTAGTACTCTGTTCTTAGGCTTGAGTTTTAACATTTCACCTTTTGCTCAAAGACGTTTAATTCTGGCTTTATACTGAGTCTGAAAGATTTTATTCAATTATTAAATTATGTTCTTAAAAACTTAGCTGATAATTCTAAACCACTAGATATCCTTTAATTTATATAAATCTGCTAAATTTGCTTCTGTCTGGTGAACATATTTTTATCTTGTAAGCATATTTTGTATTTTTGAAGTCAATTTAATTTCCTTTCACATTTTCCTTTGCTACCTTGAGCGTAATATACCTTCACGCGCTAAAATTTATTAAAACATCTCAAAGATTTTGTACTATTGTTGAATGTTTTAACAACTTCCAGCTGATTATATTTATTTTCTTTCATTAGAATTTAAATAAATGTAGTCATATTAGTTGCAAGGTCATTTTTCCCCATTAATTAAAAAATCTAAGAAATTAAATAGAAATTCTTTTCGAATGTTACTACTAAATTAAGAATCATGACAAAAATCATATATCATCACATAATGGATTTAAAATGATAATAATATCTACAAAATAATTTTTATTAAAATTTAAATTATACTGCTTGAGTCTAACAACTTTTACAAGTCTACAAATTTTAAATTCCTCATGAAATTTAACTAAGATTTTTCTTTCCAACATCCTTTAGTCTTTAACAAACTATTTCACAATTCATGTATAGTTAGTTATTGAGAGAAGTGTCTGAACATTATTGCGTATTCTTATAAAATCCCTCACACCATTTGGCCAGAGCTTACTAACAAATAAAACGTGCAATGTAATTTCTAAATTTAGCTTTTGCATACTAAAATAAGTTGAATATTAAGTATATTATTTTTATTTAAATCATTTTAACATGGTGAGAAAAAGATTAGAAACTTAGGATATTGCGTATTCTTACTATTTACAAATGCGCTATTTATCGCAGGAAGCAATGCTCAATTTAAACCAACGGAGATAGCTATATCTTTCCGTTTGCCTAGTAACTACTAGGCTAAGCGTTTTTGCTTGAAATCTGTTACACATTTTACCATAATATTCAATTTGCATATCATTATAGACTTCAAACTCAAGTTTGTAACATGTTTACATCATATTTCATTTTCAAATTTGAATCTGCACTGCATCATTTTAAGGGCTTCTAACATTGCTAGGTTTGAAGCTTTATTCAGGAATACTGCTTGAAATCAAGGCTAATATCTGTGCTTGTGTAGTGATGCACACCATTAGGTGGTGTTGTAACGTGAAAAATCTATCTAAATATATATCTAGAAGTCCTTTATCAATTTACACGTGTCCAATATTTACTGGCTTAAATTCTAAGTAGTTAGTACATTGCGTATAAAACTCTAGTATCAAGAATAATCAAACAATTCACTTATCCAATAACCCACATGCATGAGACTTGCGGAGACAAATTTCTTCTTCTAAATCTCACATTTATTTTATCAAAAACACATGCTCTGGATTAAATATATAACACTGATCACATAGCACATAAAAATATCAGAAACAATACCTTAGAACGCAAAACGTGAGAATCTAAAACTAGAACAGTCGACCGATGCCGAAAAAGTTACTATTAGAAAACAAATCACAATCTACTCGCATCGTTCTTATATGCAATCAAATTCGTTTTATATTAATTACGTACAGTGCTCATAACATTTTTACACACGGTTCAAGATCTTTTTTTCTACTTCACATTCCTTTTAGCACACGGAAATCGTCACGTGGATACACATCGCTGACAATGCACTTTCTTGAGAAGAACACATATTTATAATCTGCTTGAGATGTTTTAGAACGCTATCCTGGCAGTAAGACATATTGACTTTCAAACTAAACATTCTCATCTAAATATTGCAATATCTTAGCTCTGCTTCTTTTTATGCAAAAGAACGACGACACTCCATCAGCGAGTATGCAGGAACGACGAAACTCCATCAGCGAGATATGCAGGAACACAAACCCGCAACATTGTGCAACTTCCATGAGAGCCAAGCGAGAGAAGGAAGGACAAGGGCGTAGAGAGAGGGAGAAGACTATAAGGGTTGAGCCAACTCCAACTTGCTTTATTTGCCGCGATTAACCTGCGAAATTGCAGGTTGTGTTCCGGCTATCGAACTTTGGTGCTTCTAGGAGCGCTGCAGGTTAGGAAAGAGGGAGAAAACCAGTCTGATCGGTGTTTATATACCACACGTGCAGTTTCGCGATTACGATTAATGTTGCGCTGATGATGAACTGCTTGGTGTGAGAAATTACCTTTCTCATAGCTCGTAAAAAATATCTAATCATTATATCCGCCCTTTTTTCGCATAGTATAATTTGTAGTTATTGCTGAACTCATAACATATAGGCGTATAATACAAATATTTAATATTTATATGTTAATGGCATTAATAATATTTGTGTTCATCTCTGACATTTAACAGTGTATACTCCTTTTTTTTTCTCCTCATAGCTTTACAGAGTTTTTCTATTTAGTTTTTGTTTTCATCATTATTATATTATCTCTCATTAGAGTTGTAATGATCATCGCATGGAAACATTTTGCGTGTTGTATCACTGTTTGTTGATAGCATACTAAATAAAACAGTAAGAAATTGTTTATAAATGATCCTCTTTATAGATGAAGGCATTTATATGCGAAAACAAATTCAAGGGAATTTAGGTAGAAGAAATAAACGTTTAGTAGTATTAAAATATATGTTTAAATT